ATTACTGGTGTTCAGTTCTGTCTGTCCAATCGCTTTTATCTGAAGGGTTGGGAGATGACATCGGTTATATTTTTGTTATGAGAATTCTTATTGAAATATACAAAATCATACAGGTTCTACACTTCCAAACATATTTTATATAAATTCTTTATTGCAGTCCATAAGCCTAAACACACTCAGTAACCTTAAATGTTCAAGTCTCTCTCCCACAGCCTAATAAAAGCACATGAAAATCTCTTTAGTTTATATAAATTAAATTTAAATATTAATTGAGGAACCTCCTTGAAACGTTACAGATCAACTTTCTAATCTGTTTCATTTAGCTGCAGTTCCAACAGTGTAAAATAGACATGGCAGCAGATTAGGACTCTGCACACCCTTCACCAGCTGAATGCAAAGTCCACTGAGGATGTGACTGAGCTGCACTGCTCTAATTGCAGATAATTATATTTCACTTGTATACTGTGAAATTGATGTTTCCAACAGATTTTAAAACCGTAACTCTGAATATAATCTGCTACAGCCTAGGTGGCACATTCAGCTTAAGTTACCATAGAGATGTGGGCAGGTAAAGAGTTGAGCTCTGACTTTAAGCTCAACATTGCTCAGTAACTCTTGTTTCACAATGCACGTCAGATTAAATTTGACCTTTGATGTCTCACAAGTATTTTATTTTTATTAGACATTAACCAGTCTGCTTATGTGGCTGGTCATTGACAAGCGTTAGCTGGTCGTCACTTTGTTGCCGGTCTCTTCCTGCATTATTCTTCTATGATCTTATTGCATCACAGAGAAGTCAAATCTATACGTATGAGATGCTTTTCAGGTCGCAGCCTTTCGTGGTATAAGCTGTAGGGTTAGAAAGACTTACCGCTATTTGTCTCTTCTCAGTCTCTCCTCGTTTGTGGTGAATATCTGAGCAAAAAATCAGGAAGCTAAATCGACACTGGAGAGAATGTCCATCCATCCATTTGCTTCTGCTTCTCCTTTTCAGGGTCGCGGGGGGCGCTGGAGCCTATCCCAGCTGTCATAGGGCGAGAGGCGGGGTACACCCTGGACAGGTCGCCA